AGGAAGTGGCCTTAAATGCCGATGCACTCAATGAAGAGTTTCAAAATATAGTTGAACTATAGTTTGATTTTCCATTCTTCCATTGATGGGCATCTAGGTTGCTTACATAATTTTGCTATTGTGAATAGAACTTTGATGAACATAGCTGGCCATACATCTATTAATGCTGTGACTCTTAGTTCTTTAGGATATATGCCAAGTAGAGTGATTGCTGGATACATACACACAATGGAATATTACTCGATGGTAAAGAATAACAAGTACTCTTAAAAAATACTTCATAGCACAGATTAACCTGGAGGACATTATGCTGCATGCAAATGTCAGTCACAAAAGAACAAACATTGTGTGAAGACATTATTGTAAAAGTCAAGAAATGGTTTTTGCACTAAAAATAAAATAAAATAAACGTTAAAAGAATTGAAGGGACAGCTCCTGCCTTTGGTCCTAGCAGCTCAGGTGGCGGGGTAGAGTGGTGACTGCCAGGCAACCAAGCTTCTAGAAAGCCCTGGGTGCCCCGCAGTTCACAGGCATATGCAGCAAGCGCCCGCCCCACAGCCACTATGCCCCAAAAGGTCAGCTCCACCGAAAGGATGGTGAAGGAGGAGCCCAAGAGATCAGGGAAATTGTCAGTAAAATCTGTGCTCGCAAAAGTGGAAACAAAGCCCAAAAAGGCAGCAGGAAAGGATAAACCTTAAGACAAAGAAAGTGCAAGCAAAAGAGAAAAGGGGAGCGGAGCAAAGGGAAATCAGGCTGAAGTAGCTCAACAAAAAACTTAAATGGAGTAATAAAAAAACAAGGAGAGTCCAGCCTCTGGTGGAGCAGGAGAGAAAGAAGCCAAGTCTGATGAATGTTTATCTACCATGTCATATCAGTAGGCCCTGTTATCTCCCATGTACAATCTAGAGGAATATTTTTATCAACAATTTTGTACATGCCAGTTTTTTAGTAGCTTTAGAAACATTTTTAAGAAGGAAGAAATTCCATTTTATCCCATTATTTTAAAGTGTAAATGCTTTTAAGATTTAAAATCATTTTTTAAGATTTAAAATCATTTACTGATTGCTTATTTTTATTTATTTTATTCATTATTTTTTATCAGCCCATAATTCAATCACATCAAACAGTATTGTACAATTGGTACCACAATCAGTTTAAAAACATACTTTCTTCTTGAACTCCTTGAAATCAGTTCCTTTCCCCTTGGCCCCCTCACCTAGTTGTTTATTTATTTTTTGGTATAACCATAAAATAGTGGGATGTTGAATTATGGGAAGATTTGACTGCCTTAGGTATCAACGTAACATTCCATGGGATGGGGGTTGGGTGGCGTTGTATACCTAATACAAAACATGATTAATGGTAATTTGGAGTCTATCATGCATTTGTGACTTGAACATTTAAAATTTTGTTTCCATGTTTGTTTGTTCTTTTTAAATAGAATTGTCTGAAAAGCATTGTCATTATGACTTTCTTATCAGAACTGTGTGCATTCTGCAACACCTTTGGTCGTGGCAGTCCAATTTTCCCAGTAACTGCTGTGAAGGAGTGAATATTTGAGTGTGTAGTGTGTGCGACATTAAATTGTGAATTAGTGGGACTTAATATGTACCAGCTTATCAACATCTGAGATAATGGGACTTGCTAACCTCTTTTTAAAAATTGCCTCCAAATTTAAAGCTGGAAAGTCACTGGAGTTTAGAAATGAATTGTACTGACACGCCATTTTAGGATGTTGGTATATGCATTAGGAATTGGACAGATGATCCCTTCAGGACCAGTGGTGAGAGTGGTGATACCAGGAGGGTAGAGGGAGGATGGGGTAGAAAGGGGGAACTGATTACAAGGATCTATATGTAACCTCCTCCCTGGGGGACGGACAACAGAAGAGCAGGTGAAGGGAGATGTCGGACAGTGTAAGACATGAAAAAATAATAATAATTTATAAATTGTCAAGGTTCATGAGAGAGGATGCAGCAGGTACGGAGGGGAACAAGTGAGGCGCTGATACCAAGGGCTCAAGTAGAAAGCAAATGTTTTGAGAATGATGAGGGCAACAAATGTATAAATGTGCTTGACACACAATGCATGTATGGATAGATTGTGATAAGAGCTGTATGAGCCCCCAATAAAATGATTTTAAAAAAAGAATTGTGTACAAATTGTTCATAATGTCCCTGTACTGATCTCAAAATAACCAAAAAATGCCAATTAGAAAAAAAATTGGAGGGAAGAATAGACAACTCCACAATAAGAGACTGCAATATACCACTGTTGATACAAAGACATAGAAGAACCAAACAACACAATTAGCTTGATCTTATAGTCATATAAAGAGCACTCTGCTCAAAAACAGCACAGTGCATATTATTTTCCAACACACATGGAACATTCTCCAATATAGACTGTACACTAGGCCACAAAGAAAGCCTCAATAAAATTAAAAATACAATAAAACACCTTCTCAGACCAAAACAATATTAAAATCGATACCAAAAATAGGAAGCAACAGGGGAAAAATAAAATATATAGACTCTAAGTAACATCCTGCTTAGAAAATACTTGTGTAATACAAGAAATTAAAAAGGAAAAATTCAAAAATTCTGAATCAAGTAAACCAATAACATTCATAAACCAATGACAAGGCTTAACAATGCTCCAAGAATTGGACTACCACTTGAAATGGATGAACAAAGAGAAGCAGCATCTCATCTTTGCCAAGAAATTTGGAAGATTGCTATCCAGCTAACCAATTGGCAGTGATCAATGTTTAGCTAAGGTGATCCTTAGATTAGAGGTAAACTACCAAGGAGGTAGTTTAACAGTGGTTTTACTCATGCTGTTACCTCTGCCTGGAAGAGCCTTCCCTCTCATCTTGACCTTTTCATGGCCAGTTCCAATTCCATGAATGCCCCATTTACTCCTGGAAAGTATTTTGTGTTTGAATTAACTTATCACATTGTTTTGTGTTGTAGGTACATGGACGTCTCATCTCACATTCTCTACTAGATTATAAACTCATTAGTTGGGAAAAAAAGAAAAGAGATGCTGTCCAAGAAAATGTGGAAATCATCAAACAATATCATTGATACTGTATCAGATATAATTTTGCTGGAAGTAATTGAAAACCTTCAGCAGTACATTGACAGGGAACTGCCAGAAACTCAAGCTTAGTTTAGAAGTGGTTGTAAAAAAAAAGGATCTTGAGGAGTCCAGCTAGCCCTGTGGCTAAGCATAGTGCTGCTAACATCAACGTTGATGGTTCAAACCCACCAACCACTCCTCAGAAGCAAGATGAAGCCGTCTGCACCATGTAAAGATAGTTTGGTACTGTGGTTGCTATGAGTTGGAATTGGAGTTTTGGAATTAAGACAATGGCAGTGGGCATTGTGTTTGTGTGTGTAACCACAATAAAAAATTAACCAGTTAATTGTTTTTTTTTTAATGGATCTTTTTCCTGATATTAGATGTAAGCATAGAATACCAGAAAGTTGTTTATCTGTGTTTGATTGACTGTGCAAAGGCATTCAACTATGTGGATTATACAAAGTTATTGATCACATTGTAAAAGATGTAAATTCCAGAATACTTACTAGTTCTCATGCTGAATTAAAAGGATACAGTGTGGTTTAAAATCAGGAAAACTGTGTGCCGGAGTTGTATCCTTTGTTTGGTCTGTATGCTTAGCTGATAATCTAAGAACCTGCATCATATTAAGAAAAGCATGGCATTAGGACTGGAGGAAGACTTCATTAGCTACCGGCAATATCCAGTTAATACAACCTTGTTTGCTGAAAGCAGAGGACTTGAAACATACTAATGAAGATCCGAGATTACAACCTTCAAGACAGATTATACTTCAACATAAGGAAAACAGAAATCCTAAAACTGGACCAGTAAACATCATTATAAATAGAGGAAAAAAATTGAAGGGGATTTAATTTTACTTTGATCCATAGTCAGTGCTCATGGGAGCAGTAGTCAAGAAATAAAACTGTATTACAGTGGGCAAATCTGCTGCCAAATATCTCTTTTAAGTGTTAAAAAACAAAGATAGCACTTTGAGGACTAAGGTGTGCCCGATCCAAGACATGGATTGCCTCACATGCATATGAAAGCTCAAATTGAGTAAGGAAAACCAAAGAAGACTTGAGGTATTTTAATTACTGATATACCATGGACTTCTTCTAGAGAAAAAACAAATCAGTATTAGAAAAAATACAACCAGAATACTTCTAAGAATCAACGATGGCCACAACTCACCTCTTGTACTTGGGCATATTATCAGGAGGAACCAGTCCATGGAGAAGGACATCGTGCTTGTTAAAGTAGAGGCTCAGTGAAAGAGTTTCTTTCTGTCATGTGCATAGGGTTGCTATGAGTTGTAACTGGCATCTAACAACTTGAAGGGAAAGGATGCTAATGGTGCTAACATGTCAATCCATCTCATTGAGGGCTTTCCTCTTTTTTTGCTGCCCCTCCACTTTACCAAGCACAATGTCCTCCGGGGACTGGTCTCGCCTGACAACATGTCCAAAGTACATGAGATGAAGTGTCTCGATACTTGCCCCTGAGGATCATTCTGGCTGTACTTCTCCCAATACAGGTCCAGTTGTTCTTTTGGCAGGCCACGGTACTTTTAACATTCTTCACTTATCATTTTATCTTCATTTAAGAACTTACATTTTTAATAGGAAAATCATTCATGACCCTATTCCCTGATAACTGCTACTAGTGCAAGCTTTTATGACCCAGAAAAGCCCAGTTTGTGATTAAGAACATGTTCCAACCTAAGTTGTTTTAAGTGTTCCACAAAATTCGGAATTAAATAGGTAATTTTCCTAGTAATAGGGACAGTCTGTCAGCTTACTGAACTGTCCCCTGTTGGTTAGCCTGGGCCTATTGCTTTATGACATCACGAACAATTCCAGTTGGCAGTCTTAATTGTAAATATAGAAAGAGCGTATCATTATTCTCCTTGCCTTTGCTTCTGTTTCAAGGCACACTGTCCCAGCTATCTGGTGGAAGAACGCCCAAGGAAAGAACCAGATGTGGTATGAGGATGCCTTGGCTTCTAACCATCCCATCATTCTGTACCTTCATGGGAATGCAGGCACCAGGTAAGGAAGGGGAGACAGCTGGCAAAAATCCACAGAGATGCATCTGTCTACACTGTACAACCCCTTTTGAGGTGAAGGTTGTTAAGACCAGCAGGTGTAGTCTCACAGAATTTGAATATTAACCCATTGCAATAAGGGAGTGTGCATTCGGGCATCTCAAGAACAAAGGTAGTGTGATTACAGGATTTGAGAGAAGCGTGAGCTAGGGTAGAGTTTTATGTGAAATTCAGTTGCAGCAGTGTTTCCATAATTGGGTCTGGTCTACAAGTGGGCCAGTCTTACTACTCTGAGAACCACAATACTAAATAAAAACCAAACCAAACTCACTACAATCCCGTCTGTACTGACTCATAGCGACCCTCTGCATTTCCGAGACTAACTGTTTACAGGAGTAGAAAGCCTTTCTCCTGAGGAGCTGCTGGAAGTTTCCAACTGCAGACCATGCAGATTACAGTCCAACTCATAACTCTTACACCACCAGAACTCTGACAATGTTAGATAGTATCGGGAAATTGAGTCCAGAAAACCCTTCTCTGAAAATTTGCACAGGGATTGGAATTATGGCTGCTTCTCTCTGTCAGAGTGACTTAGACCCCTCAGGCATGAGTTGAGTAGGTGTTCCTTTCTTGCTTATATAATTCCCACCAGCAAGGTATTTGGCACTTCGAGCTTTTAGAAAATAATAATTCCAAGTGAATAGGAAAGTCATAGTCATTGTCACACAGAGAAGGGGACTTAATGGTGATTTACAGCTACATGTAGCACCTGAGGAAATGTGATCGCCGTTAAACTCTGCAGGTGGGTCTACCAGGTTTTTTATTCTAGGTTGATGATCATGGGGCACATTTTCACTTTCGTAAGCTGTGGCTAGTTACCTATGTGATGACTCCAGTGTGCAGACATGTGAAACCTGAGCCAGTGTAGCCCTGCTATTGCCTGGGGGGTGGGTGTCCACAAAATGCTGAAAAGGGAACAGTGATAATCACAGAGAAAGGGTGGCTGCAGGTCCAGGGAGACCAATGAATAGATCCCAGCTGAATAGTCATAACAAATGAATTGGTTTAGACTTGCACCTACCACCATGTGATTAGCCTAATCATTATAAATTCTTTGTCTTGGATGTAAAACTAGCAGAATCGGTGCATTCGAATGGCTGGCTTTGGTACATGAAGTCTTTGCCCAATTTTCTTCTGAAGACTATTCATGAATAGGTTTAATAGCACTTCCTTCAGGCAACACCCTGTGGGATCACTCAGGGTCCTGGAAGGAGGAAGAGTAGAAGCTGGGGGAGTGGAGCAACTGCTGAGGAAATCTGTGCTTGGAAAACCCATCTTAGTCACTGATGTTTTGTTTTTTAAACTTTCTAAGTGAATTAGGTGTGACTTTACTTCTCCGGTCATCATCTGATCATCACTTTTGTATTCAAGAATCCAAACAACCTATTCTCCCATCTCCCTCCTTTAGGATATTGTTCTCCCTTTCATTCAAATTTAGACTTAGCTACCCTTGAGTTTATTGCCTTCCCCTCCTGCTTCTGGTAAACATCAAAGTCTGCATCATATGGTATGAAAACCTTTCCATACTTTATTTTTTCTTCCATATCAGTGGTTTCTTACAATATTTGGCCTTTTCACTCAGCATAATGCCCTTCAAATCCATCCAGGTCATGAGGTGTTTCACAGTTTCGTAGTTACTCTTTAGCAATGTGTAATATTTCGTTGTGTGTATGTCCCAAAGCTTGTATATCTGTTCTCCTGCAAATGGACACTTAAGTTGTTTCCTTCTTCTTGCTGTTTTGAATAGGGCTGTGATGCACATGGGTAAGCAGGTCTGTTTCTGCTGCATTTCTTCCTTCAGTAGGGTGTATACCAGCTAACACTGTTGCTGGGTCATAGGATATTTCTGTTTCCAGGGGAAAGTGCTTTCCACGGTGGTTATACTGCTCTACAGTCTTACCAGTAGTGTCGGAGGGTTCCAATCTCTCTGAGCCCCTCCAGCATTTGTTGGTTTTTGCTTTTTTGTACTTTGCTATAAATGCCAGTGTATAGTTTTGATTTGCATCTCTCGTTTCACTAATAATCTCGAACACTTGTTCTTAATGTTTGTTGGCCACTTAACTGTCTTCTTTGGTAAACTGTTCATGTCATGTGCCCAGTTTTTATTAGGTTATTTGTCTTAATGAGGTGAAGTTTTCTGTAGATTTTAGAGATTGGTTCCTTATCATTGCCAGTTTTCCCCCCTGATTATGGGTGTTCTTTTTATTCTTTTGATGAAACTTTTTGATGTACGTGAGGCCCAAGTCATCTTATTTTCTTCCGCTATGTGTGTATCTTTCATTCTGATAGTATGTTTATGCCACGTATAAGGGCCCTTAAATTTGCCCGCTTTTTTTTTCCATTGATGATCCTTATAGTTATAAGGCTTATATTTAGGTCTTAAATCCATCTTGAGTTTGTTTTTGTTTATGTATCGAGGTATAGGACCGGTTTCAATCTTTTGCTAATGGAAACCCAATTTTATCACCACTATTTGTGACAGACTAGCTTTTTCCCATTTAACGTGTTTTTCCACCCTTTGTCAAAGATTATGTGGATGGATTTATTTCTGTGTTCTCTTTTCCCCCCATTGGTCTGTGTCTTATTATACTAGCTTTAGACCATTTTGACTATCATGGCTGTGTAATAGGTTTTAAGTTTGGACAGTGATAGACCTCCTACTTTGGTTTTCTTCAGTCTGCTTTGCTTAACCCCTGTCTCATTCCTTTTCATATAAAGTGGGTGATAATTTTTCCTTCTCTTTGAAGAATGATGCAGGGATCTAGCTTGAGATTGTATTATATTTGTAGATCACTTTGGATAGTAGATGCTGCACTTTTTTAAGGTTCCATACGAGAACCAGCACGGAACCAGCCAGCATAGTGCAGGGTCGATGTGGTGCTGTGGGCCAGGCGGGCAGATGAGGGAAGGGCACATAGGCAGATAAATTAAGAGAACTATGCCTAGGCCTTCATGAAGGGGAGCAGCGTGGAAGGAGTGTCTGGTGTAGAAGGGCACTATAGCACGCTCAGATACACTGAAGAGCAAGGGCAAAGTCAGGGCCTGTGCCCAGGGGATAGACCAAGTGTGTACTTTCCAAGTGTCTCTCATCTCTGTTGGGGTTCTCTTCTGCTTTTCAAAGAGTAACTTACTATAATAGCAGCTTTTGCTATTGTTAAAATTAATCAAAACCACCAAAATTTGAACATAAGCTGTGTTCCAAGAAGTTACTATATACCTTCAGGGAGACCATTTTGATTTCAGAAAAAGAAATGGCTCAAAGAAGCTAGCTACAATGGGGCTTAGAAGAGGATGGTGAATTATAGAATATGGCTATTCATAACATGATTGATTGAATTCTATCCTCACACTTTCACTGTGATCAGGGATGTCAGATTACATGATCATCTGTGACCTTCCATCCCCCACAGCCATGCCCCAGTGTGACTCTTGGCCACTGAAGAAGTTCTGTTAACAGTTACTTTAAAACAAAACAAAATACAAACAAACAAAAAAACTTTTTTATTATGAACTAGATGAGGTATTACATATGAGAGTATCATTTTCATCATTAAAAAAATTTTATTGGGGGCTCTTACAGATATTACAACAATCCATAAATCAATTATATCAAGCGAACTTGTACATATGTTGCCATCATCATTTTCAAAACATTCTCTTTCTACTTGGGCCCTTTGATATCAGCTCCTCTTCCTTTGTGAACCCTTAATAAATTATATATGTATTTTTCTGTCTTACACTGCTGTGTCCCTTCACCCACATTTCTGTTATTTGTCCCTCTCGGGTAAGTTATACTTCCATCATTGCTATCAGTTCTCCCTTCCTCCCCTTCCCTCCCCACCCTCCCCATACCCTCATGGTATCCCTACCCCCATTACTGCTTTTGAGGGGTTTTCCTGTCCTGCATTTGATGTGTTGAAAGTTCTTATCTGTACCAATGTACATATTCTGGTCTAGCCAGATTTGTGAGGTATAACTTGGGTCATGATAGTGGGGGAGGAAGCATCAAAGAACCAGAGGAGTGTTGTGTGCTTCGTTGGTGCTATACTATACCCTGGGTGAATTGTCCCTTTCGTGTGACCCTTATGTGAAGGAATGTCCAATTGCCTACAGATAGTCTTTGGGTCTCCACTCAGACTCCTCTCCTTCACATTGATGTAATTGTTTGTTTTTGATCTTCTGATACCTGATCCCGTGGATAACCTCCTGATCACATAGGCTGGTGTGTTTCTTCCATGTGGGCTTGGTTGCTTCCCTGCTAGATGGCTGCTTATTTAACTTCAAGTCTTTTAAGACCCCAGATGCTTTATCTTTTAATAGCTGGCCACATCAGTTTTCTTCACCACATTTGCTTATGCACCCATTTTGTCTTCAATAATCCTGTCAGGAAGGTAAGTATCACACAGTGTCATGTTATTAGAACAAAGTGTTCCTGTGTTGAGGGAAAACTTGAGTAGAGGACCAAAGTTCATCTGCTATCTTAATACTTTAACATATAAATATATGTACATAGACCAATGCCCCATCATTATATATTAGTATATTTACATATGCATATGTCTATATTTATACCTCTACATATAGATTTTGCTTCCTCGTTCTTTCCTCTATTTCCTTTTACTTTCCTCCTGCTCTACTATCATGTTCACCCTTCCTTTGGCTCTCAGAAATTCCTCTGGGCTACAGTGGAATTGGAGATCATCATTTTCTCACAATTTATCACAATTTTTTGTTATATCACAATTTATCACATTGTTTTTCACAATTTTTTTTCTAATCATTTTATTAGGGGCTCATACAACTCTTATCACAATCCATACATACATGAATTGTGAAAAGTGTTTTACACAATTTATCGTCCCTTCCAGTACTTTGCGCCCTGCTCCCCACCCCCCTTTCTCTTTTGATGGATAGTATTTCCCCTTCATCAAACTAACATCTATCCATCATCTACCAAATTGCTTAGCCAACTCTCTCATCCCCTCCTTCCCCTGGTAGCCATCAAGGTCTATTTCTTTTCTTTCTTTCTTTTTTTT